TGGGCAAAGAGGCGGGAGCAGGTTGCTGAAGCCACGCCCACCTAGCTCGAAGGTGGTGACAGCAGCGGCAATCCACCTGTCACTCAAGTGGCCACGCCCTTAATTATGCAGAATTTTAAGGCTTAATATAATTTAAATGGATTAGTTATAAAAAAATTCACCCCCCTCACAGTTGTCATCAAGGGCAAAATTAGCTATATAGACCAAAATCATTTTTTGAACCAGGCTGTAAACATGTTTTTTTCTGCTGAAAAAGTTGGGCATTTTAACATTGGGAGTCTATGGGATTGACTCCCTTTTGCAGCCAGCCTCTAGCGGCCAGTTGATGAATTACAGTTTAAGTCACTTCCGTGTTGGCTTCACGAGAGAGAGCGGGAGGTTGCCGCTTGCACTCAACTCTACAAACACAACTCAACACAACACGCTGCATGTTGAGCTTAAAAACCTTTAGATATAAAGCCTTATGCTTACATGCCTGCCATTAGTTTTGCAGACGAAGATAAATGTTATTCATGCATTCATTTCTTTACAAAACGAAAATTTAAATGTAAAAAAAAAAAGGTGAAATGGAATCCTTCCATGCCGTTTAAAATGTACAATTCTTATTTTAAACTGAATATTGAAGTGTTTGTTATAAATCTGTGCACATCATTCAAAAAAAAATAAATAATCAAAAAATCAAAAAACGTTCCAGTGAATTTTCAGTCGAAATCTGAATAGAAATCTGCACAGCTGTGAATTTTGCCTAATTTCCATTCGCAGATTTTGCATCGGGTTCAAGTTGGTCATGCATATTCAGCACTTTGACCGGTAGAAACCTGCTTGGTTTGACAGCGACTTCCGTTTGAGCTGCGTTTCATATACACACTATCACTATTGACAACAGACAATGTATTATTTGCAAAAAAATTTGCTGAAATTTTGCTTGTGTAACTGCACCTTTACACACTTTAAACCACGACACAACTAATGCCTGATGGACAATAGGGAAGAAAAGATGCACCTCATGAAGCTGGAATCTAGACAAAGCGTAGCAATTTAGAAGAAGCCCATGTATAAGATATTGTTTTATATTTCTTGGTCACTCCATAAATCTAATAATTGCATTTGTGTTTTTCATTGTTTTGATTCCACTATTTGGAAAACAACATTAAAAATAACATTCACATTTGGCATGTGTCCAATGAAAGTAAAACTGGGTTTCGTGTGAAAATAAATTACCAGTGCTGCAAACAACTGTCTACTAATGAAACATCTGTTGTGTCTAACAGCGTTTACATCTATGAGGCATTTACCATCAGAAGCTGAATTTAGGATCCCAAAAGTGAGGTTTTTTTTTCCCATGTGGTGAAAATAAAACTGAAATAAAAATTATGAGGAAGAAATGGCAGTGTTTTAGGCGTTTATGACAGATGCAGAAACAGAGACTCACTACCATATGATGTTTGTTGTAAATATATAAGGAAAAATAGATCTACACTACTGCTCAAAATTTTAGGGTCTGTAAGATTTTCTAATGTTTTTGAAAGAAGTCTCTTCTGCTCACCAAGGCTGCATTTATTTGATCAAAAATACTGTTAAATACTGTGAGATATTATTACAACTTAAAAGAACAGTTTTCTATGTGAATATATGTTCAAATGTAATTTATTCCTGTGATCAAAGCTGAATTTTCAGCATCATTACTCCAGTCTTCAGTGTCACGTGATCTTCAGGAATCATTCTAATATGCTGATTTATTATAATCAATGTAGAAAACATATTTTTGTGTAAACCATGTTTTACAGGATTCTCTGCTGAAGAGAATGTTCAAAAGAACAACATTTATTTGAAATAGAATTTTCTTATAACATTATAAATGTCACTTTTGATCAATTTAGTCAAATGTCTAGACAATCTAAAATGCATCCCATTCTCTAACTTTATCTAAGATCTATTTTGTGTAAAGGAGAGTGTGACAGTGGTTTAGCGTGCTTGCAGACTGTCACGCCACAGTGTAGCTAATTTCCCTGATTAATCATCAGAGCGGACCAATAACAGCAATTCCTCTCAGTGCCCTGAGCTCCAGCTCTCTCCGTGTGTCTTGCTTTTCCAAACGTCCCTGCTGCTCATGTTCCCTGCAGTGTCAATCACGCTGCTGCCGTGGTGATAACAATGACATTCATATACTTCATCTCATTTAGCAGACTCTGTTTGGTGCCGTACGGCAGTGCATTAACGTGACTCGAGAGCGCCTCCAACAGGTCAAACTCACACTTGCTGTGCAGGGGCGGAACACCATGTGTATCAGCCAATCACTATCGCAAAATGGAATAGAATTAAAGATTTTTTAAAAAGAAATGAATACTTTTATTCCGTAAGGACACATTCAATTGATCAAAGGTGACAGTAAAGACATTTAAAATGTTACAATAGATTTCAATTTCAAATAAATGCAGTTCTTTTGAACTTTCTGTTCATCAAAATAATCCTTAAAAAAAAAAAAAAGTATCAGTTTCCAGAAAACAGCACAACTGTTTCTTGAACAGCATATTAGAATGATTTCTGAAGATCATGTGACACTGAAGACTGGAGTAACGATGCTGGAAATTCAGCTTTGATCTCAGGAATACATTTGAACATTCACATAGAAAACAGTTATTTTATATTGTAATAATATTTCACAATATTAGTTTTACTGTATTTTCGACCAATTAAATGCAGCTTCGGTGAGCAGAACGAGATGTCAAAAACATTAAACATCTAACCGACCCCAAACGTTTGAACAGTAAGTGTATTTCAATGCCGTGATACAAAGCATCGGAGTAATTTCATTTAATTTACGCAACAAAGTTGGTGACTTCCACTTGTTATTGGCAGTCACTTTGATTTGAGTCAAATACGAACGTCTGCAGATGTCATACTCATTATTTGCTGCAAATAAGAAATTATAAGAATTATTCAGAGTTCACTGCTGCGTGTCAATGACTCAATAAAGTCTGTCACTTAGCTCCCATGATGCCTCATTTATCAGGACATGATGAGTGATTGTCACCGCTCAGTACATCAGGACTGGGATGGTTTAGTTCATATTTAATATTCCATTGCATGTAATATAATTTACTTTCATTCTCTTTCATCCACTCTTATCTTGATTGCATATATACAAAATGCATATCAGACCTTATTAAAACTGTATTCACTTAACTTGGTAAGAAGATACTCATGAAAAGAGGTTTTATTTATATGTGACCCTGGAGCAGAAAAGCAGTCTTAAGTCGCTGGGGTATATTTGTAGCAATATCCAAAAATACATTGTATGGGTCAAAATTATTGATTTTTCTTTTATGCCAAAAATCATTAGGATATTAAGTAAAGATCATGTTCCATGAAGATATTTTGTAAATGTCCTACTGTAAATATATCAAAACTTAATTTTTGATTAGTAATATGCATTGCTAAGAACTTCATTTGGACAAATTTAAAGGCGATTTTCTCAATATTTAGATTTTTTTGCAACCTCAGATTCCGGATTTCTCGGCCAAATATTGTCCTATCATAACAAACCATATGTCAATGGAAAGCTTATTTATTCATGATGTATAAATCTCAATTTCAAAAAAATTGACCCTTATGACTGGTTTTGTGCTCCAGGGTCACATATGTTGATGATTTTAATTTATTCACAATAACTAAGCAGCAAATCCTCTTCTACTTTTTGTGTGGTAAGACATTTTTTTTTATTTCGGCTGGTTTTTTTTGTATTTTAATTTGTATTGTACTGCACTTTAAATATGAAATATATTCCAGCTGGCTGTAGTCGTGTTGCTTTTCACTTTGAGTAGCTCTAAAATCTCATTTGCATGTGAACACATTCAAACCTGCCGTGTCGTGTTTACGTTCGACACACTGAGAATCACAGAGGTGTTTGGTGTCAAACCATTCCTCACAATATATGGACATGCACAACTATATTTGAGGGGAATGTTTCCAGTGAACAACACTTAAAGCTGTAGTCTGTTCCTCGTGGAATACAGCACACAAGACATATGGATGACTTTCACGGTGCTTTCAGCCAGAGAAACAATGTGCTGCATCAGGCCTGGACAGGACCCGGCGTAATTGTTGGAATCAGGGTTTAAGGGTGCTACACAACAACAAAATCAAGCAGAACTGTCAGAAGTGAAGCAGGCTGGTCTTACCGATGAGCTCTGTGGGCGTCTTCTCTATGAAGTGCTCGCACAGCCTGATGAACATCTCTGTGGCCTCTGCTGTGGGGCATTCACCGTGACTGAATGAGACACAAACACACTGATATCAAGATCACACCAATGACACCCATTAGCAATGACATCACAAGAGGCGAAACCACCATTTTATAAATTTGGATTTGTATTTTAACCAGAAATATACATGTTTACAAAATACAAAAAACATTTTCAAAATGATTCCTTAATCCACCCCATGCCTAATCTTAACAACTAACTTACTAACTATTAATAAACAGCAAATTACGAGTTTGTTGAGGCAAAAGTCGTAGTTAATAGTGAGAACTGGTCCCAAAACTAAAGTGTGACCAACAGTGCTTATTGAGGTAGTATTCTCAATTGAAACGAGTCGAGGCTTGGACCCAGAAACAGCGGTGGATTACATTTCAAATGCAAAAAACACAACACAGCATTTAGATTCTATCACTCACATACCCTTTGCAGGAAAGTTTGACATATTTGATTCCTTCTTTTTCTATCTCTGCTCGATCATAGAAGCGGCTGGTGTTCGTCAGGTCCACCAGCAAACCCATCTTCACCTGCGGACAGGTCAGCATCACATTAACACAGCTCAGGCGGAAGACCAGTTTAAAGGGATCGTTTACACACATTTCATTTTCTCACCCTCCAGTTGTTCCGACGTTTCTTTCTTTTATTGAACACTAAGAAGATATTTTATAAAACGGAGAGTTCCGGTGCTTGATTCTGATTGGCTGAGCCGCGTTCGAAGCTGTTGTAAATGACTCTACAAAGTAACATACACCTTTGTTTACGTCTGTGTGTTGCTCGGCAACCACTTTATTGCAACCACAACTGTTTCTGAGGAGCTACATTGTTTGGTGGAAGAATACGGTTTTTATTAACGTCATTACACTTTATTTGCTCTGTTTTATTCTGTGAAACCTTACTACGTATATGGAGTAACCGTTTTATAAAAGCTTCGCGTCGTGCCTAACAACGCCCCTTAGCTGTAAACCACGGCTTCTTGGGGCTTATTGCTTTATTAAAGAATGTTGGTAATCAAACAGTTGACGGTAGCCGCATTGTATTTTTTTCCCATCCTATGGAAATCAATGGCTACCGCCAACTGTTTGATTACCAACATCCTTCAAAATATCTTCTTTTGTGCCCAACAGAAGAAAGAAACAGAAGTTTGCAACAACTTGAGGGTGAGTAAATGATGACAGAATTTTTTTATTTTTGGGTGAACTATCCTTTTAAGAGGAACGTCCATATACCTTTAAGCTTTTGAGATAGTTGGACAGCATGCTGGGATGAAACCTGTTCTCCTCAGGGACTTTATCATCATACCGTGGTCCAAGCATGGTTTTCATGGGCAGAAATTTACCTGCGGAGAGAAATCATCATGTCATGACCTTTAACCTCATAAGGTCCTTGGGGTCAATATGACACCAACCAACTTTTCTTTAGTTAAAAAAAATCTCAGTGGAATAAGATTTTGTGACTTTTCAACATTTTCTATCTGTATTCACATAAAAAAAAGAAAAGCGGGCTTGATTCGGTTGTTCTGAAGGTATGTACTTTTTTTTTTTTTACAAATCTGGTCTTTGGGGTCAATATGACACCAATTGAAAATGAATGGAAAATGCGAAAAAATCTATCTATATATATATATATTTTTATTTTTCATTTGTCAAAAAAATAAAAAATAATTCCAGCATAAATCTGAAACTTTTCACACAGAAATGAAGGCCTGGTACTAGATCACAAATGCAATGTAGAAACGACATGCTCACTCACACGCACGCACACACACGCACGCACGCACGCACGCACGCACACACACACACACACACACACACACGTGTGACTGCAACAAAGAGCATTTTCATAGAAATTGACAAATAAAACAAATAAATCCTGCATAAATCTGAAAATGTCCACACAAAAATGAAGGCCTGAGCACACTAGAGCACAAATGCAGTGTGGAACGAGCATACTCACTCACGTACGTACACACACACACAGACACACACTCTCTCTCACACACACACACACACACACACACACTCTCTCTCTCTCTCTCACACCCACACACACACAGACACCATTCATATCTGCTTATTGCAGTTGTTGTTTTTTAGTTTTGTTTTTTAGTTTTTTGGTTTTATTTACATTTAAGTCAAACAAAATTGTTTTTATTTTACTTTTTAGATTGAAATAAATATGTGCCTGCAATCAAGTTTTAGTGACAACTTGTGTGGCACTTCTGCAAATCTATGTGCCATTATTGCAAAAGCGGGAACTTCAAAATACCTCAAACAAACAAAAACAAATTCTAACCTTTGAGAAAAATACTGTTTTTAATGTATTGTATAATGTTTCAATATATATTTACAAAATATATATCAGAAAAGTTGTGAGAGGAGCAGTTGGCCACTTCCAGAAAAATGAATGGATCTCTATGGGCCTCTGCTGGATATTTATGGTCACTACACTATTCTTTCAAAAACTGTGATTTCTACAAGTTTTTCTCTAACCAGCAGATGGCAGAATTTTACACCTAACACCTGTCCTAGATCAATATTCAGAAACAACTTAAATTAAATTTAGATAATTTAAGTGATTTTTTTCGTAAAAATGTAGTATTTCACATGCAAGCTAATGGTGTAGTTGAGGAATTTTGTGGTAAACAGGTACAAAAGTACTTCATATCTCCCAAAACACAGCATTAATGTATAGATGAGAAGTAAACGAAAAAAAGGATATATTATTTGTATGATTAATTACTCTTTCAATTTTAGGGTCATACTGACCCCAAAGACCCTTAGTGTAAACAGGAAACGCGGACCTTATGAGGGTTAATAAACACTCACAACGATGGTTTGTACAGCAAACCCTTACAAATGGCGCTTTTCCACTGCGTGGTACGACTCGCCTCGGCACGGCTCAGTACAAAAAAAGTACCAGGTACCAGGTACTGTACCCAGTGGAAAACCCCCCAAAAGTGAACCGTACCGAGCCGTACTGTGCAGTGGAAAAGCGCCAAAAGAGTACTGCTGTGGTACGTACAATAATCGTAACATATGGTAATACCAAGGTGTTCAATTAATGATCTTCATGTAGCACATCCAGTGTTGGGAAGGTTACTTTGGAAATGGTTACAGATTACAAGTTACCCTACTTAAAATATAATATGTAGTGTAACTTTTCAATTACTTTATTAATGTAACTGATTACTTTTTCATTACTTTTCTAAATTTCTAATGTTTTCAACTGTTAATCATTTTCACATTTAAAGCAGGCAGGGTTAACATTACTGTCAGACTTTTAAAATACTTCATCACTTGAATTAAGATTATAATAATTGAATTTTAAAGCAAAGCCACCACTGATAACTGTCAGACTTTCGAAATCCTTCATCACTTGAATTAAGATTATAATATTTAAATTTTAAAGGAGACATTGGATGCAAAATTCACGTTTACATGGTGTTTGCATAAATATATCTTAGCAGTGTGTGGACACAACCACCTTATTAATTAATTATTTATTTATTAGATACTATTCATAAATTATATAGATTAGTAAATGTGATACAGCTGTTGTTGTACCAGAACAACAACAAAAATTGTTAATTGTTTATTAGTTATTTTGTTTCCTTCAATGCACTGTTAATAAATTTAGCTCGAGCAGCTGTAGCAACAATGTCTTGTAAGCGATGCAGGTGTTTTGTGATGTAGAAGAACATAAGCGTGTTAATTTTTTCCCGACATCAGAGCCACCGAGGACGCAGTGCATTAGTGTTGTTTTTGATGGTAATGCACCACCGAATACACCTAAATTCATTTATGTCTGCGCAAGTAATTTTACTCCAGACTGCTTTCTGAATGAGGGACAATTTAAGGCATGTTTTGTTAAAAAGTTAAAACTCAAGGATAGGTCAGTACCCATTGTTTGTGATCCAGCTGCACTTCCAGAAGTAGTAAGTGTCACACTTTATACTTTTTTATAATTACTTGCAAATCGCCTTTGCTCTTCCACGAAAGAGAGGGGTGGGGTGAGCAGAGCTCATTAGCATTTAAAGTGACATGCCCCGAAACCAGCCGCTGTAAACAGAGCAAGGTAAAAAAGGGTGTTGTGAGGAATTTTAACCAAAGTATGCTGCAGACCTTCATGAAAACCCTAAAGAAGCATACCAACTTGTGGAAGATGGGCATCCGATGTCCCCTTTGAAGCACAGCCACCACAAAATCAGACTTACTTCGAGATCATTCTGAGGTTGAATGCATATTTAAAATCATAACAAGAAATATTTTATTAGCTATGATACTGTTTTTGAAATCAAATCGTTGTAAATCATATGACAGGAAACACTGTCTGGAATCTAACAATGCCTTGGAGAAAACAGTTCATTTAGAGCAGTCACTGCAATTTATGAAAGAAATCAATTAAATCTGTATGTGGGAGTGTGTGTGAAAAAAATCAGATGTAACCAACCCCCTTTCTAATTTTCATAAGTAACTGTAATTTAATTACACATTTTTTTCTTAGTAACTGTAACTGATTACAATTACTTTTATTTTGTAATTAAATTACGTAATTCCGTTACATGTAACTAGTTACTTCCCAACACTGAGCGCATTTTATTTTAACATAATATTTTACTCTGATCTTAGATGCAAAAACGAGTCGTTAAATGTACTATATTTATATGCAACGCTTGAAATCTCAGGGAATACACCCATTTCAATGTTTGAGGTATTCCGCTGATGAACCCTAGTAGTACTAAGGTGAAGTCTAATCTCATGAATATTAATTACGGCAAAGGTTGACTCTTCTCATTAATATTCCTAAACTAAGCCTTCGTCATAGTACGATTCGTTAGCTCCTTACGGACGTCTGCCTCTCAGCAAATCAGCAGGCCGAACGTAACATTACGCGATTAATATTCATGAACTAAGCCCGCGCCATAGTGGAATTCGAACACACGCCTCCCGCCTCTTCTGCAGTGACGTACTTGTGTTGTCCTGCGTACAGCGAGCTAATCTGGCTAGCCACTCAGTTTGAAACCAGTCAAAACAAACACGTTTAGAAAGGCCCTTGTATCTACTTTGACGTCGTACATGTTCCTAATTAAAAACACACGTAATTAAGTTATCATTGGTTTATTTTGGCATATTTCTGCGTTTATTTTGACGCAGTGCAATGGTAGCGCTATAAATCAGTGCTATGAACAAGCACAGGCTAATGGTTAGCTATCCGTTAGTTAGACTGAAAGCAGAGGTTTAATCTGGGTTTACTGAAGCTGCATTTACATAGCTCTGTGCTTCAGTACACTTATGCTTTCTATATTAGCCTAACCCTAAGAAGCTAACTTAAATCATTTTATCCTGGAGAGTGAATGTGGATTAGTAGAGCAGCTTTGTTGACGAGTATCTGATAGATGCTCACCAGCCACGGGTTGTCCTCTTCTGGGACAGTTCTTCCATCGCGGAGGCGCTCCGGTTTGAGACATGCTCCCGTCGATATACGAGACGAGCGCTGCTCCAGAGCTCAAGCCTGTGTGTCGAGGGCTGGAGGATCTTCGGTGATCGGCTGCCTGGGCCCTTCACACAAACCCCAGCGCTGTTAGCGGCTCACAGCTTTATCAACAGCTTCGCGCTGTACAGAGGCTCTTCCTCGGGTCAGCAGTCATGAGATGAGCTCCATGAGGCGTCCGCTTCTCAAACCCGGCTCAGAAGTAAACAATAACTCTCCACGTTATCCCGCAGTTCTGTGCGTTACCCACTGACACCGACAGCAGTGACCACGGGCGACCAGGAGGGGCTGCTAAACATCCATCCATCCATCTAGACAGACAGACAGACAGACAGACAGACAGACAGACAGGGGTCGCAAGTTCTCAATAGAGTTCAATGGAATTTACCACCATAGTTAGCTTACGATGCTTTTGGGAAACGCACCCCTAGATAGATAAATAGATAGATAGCCAGATAGATAGATAGATAGATAGATAGATAGACATCCAGATAGATAGATAGATAGAGGGGCGTAGCGTCTGGGTATGCCTGAGCTGATTGGGGGCCCACCAAGGGGGACCTTATAATTAAAACGAGGGAATGTATTCTTAATTTGTGGCCACAATATAGTTAGACAATATAGATTTGATTCTCTTTTATCGAAAGATTATCGAAAGCCATTCTTTCTATTGAGAATACACAAAGCCTTAAACGTGACATATCATGAAAATCTGACTTTTCCAGGTTTTAAGTGCTATAATCAGGTCCCCGGTGCATCTACCAACCAAGGAAACGTGATAAAGATTAACCCAGTAACTTTGTTTTGGTAAGCCTTTTTTTTGTAACTCGTGTGTTTTTAACGTAAACTTGTGTGTGAATGAGAACTTAGTTTAGTACTCACATGCTGTGACAGACACTTTCTGTGCGTGTGCTTCGTTTGTGTGCTCGCAGAAAACCATATATCAGAAGATTAAAACGCATGATTTCAGTGCGATAAACATGATAATCAGAACAATAAAGTTCTGAAGTTCCAGCAAACAGTTGTGACATTTGCACTCACAGTTTAGAGAATGTTAAGATTGTTTCGAAAAATGTGCCAAAGCAATTGAGAAAAACTGTAAAGAGCAGAAAAAATACATTTATTGTTTGTATTTCTTGATAAAGAATTTAAAGGCTACTATTTGTGTTATCGCCTATTAAAAGTAACAAAACGTTTATTTCGATACAAATAATGAATACACTTGAAAATGTTAAATATTATTTCCAGGCATTTATACCGTCAACAAAACAGCTTGTGAATTGTCATGTTATGTGATTTATCTCAGAAAAGACAACAATAAGGAGCACATTAACCTATTACGTTTGGGGGGGCCGTTTTTGCATGCATGTTTTCGTCACTAGATAGATAGATGGATGGATGGATGGATGGATGGACGGACGGACAGACAGACAGACAGATAGATAGATATCTTGTTTTTAATTTAGGGGTAAACGATTTGTTTCAGTTAGGTGGTTGACTATAGAAAATTAACACACTCGATTGACATTGTTTCTAAAATGTAAGTGTAAATCCAATTTTTTTTTTACCACAATATTCTATAATTCATTACATTATTCTGTATTCTATACAGTATATGTTATGGCTAACATCCTCAAATATTTTCAAACTAATATGATGTAATAGAGGACGCATGCGCAGTGTGCAGCGCTCAGCCATGGCGAGATAAAGCAACGGTGATGTTTTTACTTTGGAGCGCGTTATGCACGAATATTTTAATAGCATCAGCAAAGACAGTACGGTGACAGAGAAGTGCAAAGCAAATCACAATTCTGAAAACAAAATAACAAATTACAAACGCAAATGCAAGTCTAAAAAACAAAATAACAATTCAGAAAGCACAACAACAATTCAGAAAACATTATAACAAGTCAGAAAACACAATGACAAATCAGAAAACAAAATAACAAGTCAGAAAACACAACGACAAATCAGACAAACCGGAAAAGGTAGGTATAGTTTGAGACAGCGCCATTGGTTTGGGATTACTCAACGCTGACTGGACGAGACATCTGTCAATCAGCGTATACAGGAAGAACCAGCCGAAGTCGTGGTAGAAAGTTCGGAGATGGTATTAAAGTAGCTCAGTTTAAATATATTGTATGAATTGCCCTTACTCTGGATTTAAAAATACGGAGTGTATATTTAAATTTAGTTAAAAGTGGCTGTAAATCATCAGCTCCAGTGTATTTTGTTTTCAGAATTGTGATTTGCTTTGCACTTCTCGGTCACCGTAAGACAGAGATCAGAAAGATCAAAACATTTGATTGAGAAGATCTCCTCGACCGTCACCTTCTGCGGTCCTCGGGATCCGATCGAAAGCTGCAAACATTCAGCATCACCACCAACGTCCGTTTACATCTGGACGTATTTGATATAGCAAGTTATCTAGATAGTTAGGTCGATATCATGCTGGGCGATGCTTTTGGACATCGTGTTGAGTCGAGCGTGGAGAATAAAGCAGTGAAGATGAAGAAAAGCAGATCCAAGCAAGCGCTCTTGAAGAAGAGAGGACGAAACGTGCACAGCAAACCCAACAAATCAGCAAAAGCAGCTACAAACCTCCGTTAACCACCCACGAAGAGCTCAAACCAGCTCACTCCAAACCAGCCACCAATAAACAGGTATCGGCTTTATTGCCGTGGTAATAGCAGGTTTGGGCATGTGCATTTACCTTGCACTAAAAATCAAAACTATCCGTTTTGATTAGTTGGTTAATGTGTTTATGGTGTTATTAAAATTAAAGAGTCTGTAAATAGTCTTGCGTTGGTTTAGTTTAGTGTTTAAAGATATGAAAAGTTGTGGGTTCGGATCCCGGAAGGGTTGATCCATAACCCATCACCACGCGCTCTTGAATCCTGACAGAAAGAGCTGCTGAACCTCACGAATTACCTCGATAATTAAGGGTCCAAGCACAGACGGTGCTATTTGTGCTAGTTTTAATTTGATTATTTTTCTGTTTTTTTGTTCTGCCATAATAGTGTATGGGCAGCAAAGACTGTAAATCGCAGGGACCCCAAATTTTGCAAGATGGTCCCAAATTTGGACATTACATAGATGCACAGACACACATGGGTCATTCCTGATATTATGAGCCTTTTGGACATCATAAAATGTAGAAAATCAGACAGTTTTTAAAATAACTTTATATGTAATCACAGGGGCGATTCTAGGATTTTCATTTTAGGGGGGCTCAGCCCCCAATGAGGGTATAATATATATATATATATATATATATATATATATAAAATAAAAAATGTTTGACTAATAGGGGTGGTATGCTAAATTTATATACCAAAAAGTGCAGTATTCCACTGTATTGCATAGATAGGTATAACATATAACTGAATAAGCCAAATACAAGTCTTCATGATCGAACACACACACACCTGTTTACTGTACACACACACAATTTTACTGTTTGCATTTCTAGTACAACCCTCTTTCCTTAGCTCAAGTATGCAAACCTATTTGCCACATGCACTGGAAAATGTATTACATTGAAAGTTAAATTTTCATGATCTTTTTATAAAGTATGCGTTCATATATGTGCTTCATTTTCACTGGAGGAAACAGCTGTGGTGTGATGAGGGGTGAAAGCAGCGAAAACTTAGGCTACAGTAGATGGGGAACCGATTATTGCTCCCCCATGATATTTTGTAAACTGGATTTATGACAAAGAACTGCACAGATGCAGATATTATAACAATCTATCAAGAAACACGCACCTTGTCCTCTGTTTCTCGCTCTGCGCCGCCGCGGTCTGCGGATTGAAAAAGATAGCTATAGCCCCCCTAAAAATGGCCTAGCGACACCCATGGCAGTAAACAACACGATTGCAGCTCAATAAACAAGGAGTTAATTGAGTTACTTACTAGACACAATATTGCCAGTTGCGTTGTTGGCAACATGATCGTTTTATAAAGTATGCGTTCATATGTGCTTCATTTTCACTGGAGGAAACAGCTGTGTGGTGTGATGAGGGGTGAAGGCAGTGAAAACTTAGGCTACAGTAGATGGGGAACCGATTGATATTTTGCAAACTGTATTTATGGCGAAGAACAGAACTGCACAGATATTATAACTATCTATCGTTAAACACACACGTTGTCCTCTGTTTCTCGCTCTGCGCCGCTGCTGTCTGCGGATTGAAAAAGAACGCGCTGAAAGAGTCGATCGAAGTCTGTTGCCATTTTCATATGAAATTTAAAGGGGACTGAGGCGATCAAGAATTCGTGAACAGTTTATGGAGCTTATCGCTAAATTTTAGGGGGGCTGAGTACACTCTAAAAAATGTACACATGGGCGTCGCTAGGCCATTTTTAGGGGGGCTATAGCCCCCCTAAAAATGGCCTAGCGACGCCCATGTGTAATCATGATGTAAGATGTAAAACATTTTAAATGATTTTAGTCAAGCTAAGGCAATTTCAAGCATTTTTGAAACAAAATTGAAGACCAAAAATGTCGACCCTGTTAGGGACAAATGAACAACAGCTTAAAAGACTTAATATTTTTAATGATTGTGCACTGGGTACATTATGAAATTATCATTTAAAAAGGGCTGGACAGAATTACTTTTGTCAGAATTGGGTTTTGATAGGAATTAGAAAAAATGACAAGTTTAAATACACTAGTCCTTCAAATTTCAGTACTACTATAATCTCACTGTTAAGTCTTTTGATTATCCACCTTTTTCCTAACGAGTCCACTATGTTTTAAATTATGGGACGCACTTCTGGATTGGGGAAGATCCACTCAAAAAGACTGAAACAAATGATTTTCCAATTACAAGGTTGCACTACAGATAAACCTTATCCATCAGTTTGACCGAATGAGCTGTACATTTTCTTTCATTTCGCTTTCAGACGTCAGGAGAGTAACGCAACGCTTGGTATTTCAATGAGACGCAACATAACAAGAATATTTATGGCAAGACCTCTTTTCAGTTCGCTGTGCTTTTTCTCATTCTTTTTTTTTTTCTTCTGTATTCCGCTGTAACATTACGGGGAAAAAAAGGAAGACACAACATATACTGCACATTTGTGGTCTGCTCTCTTGATTCAAAGCAAATGATTCAGAAAAGTTTCCAGCACTAAACGCCTCAGATGAAATCATCACACTGTGTTTTGGCATTGGAAATAAATGCACATGTTTCTGGACATGGTGTGAGAAGTCCTGTGTGGTCTGACCATCTTACATGATCCTAATGTTTTCCTGTTTGTCTTCAGCAACTGAAGTTAAAAACCGAAAGTGTTGAACGAGGGATCCAGCCCAGCAGACCGTCTGTCCACAGCTCGAGCCGGCTTGAGCAAACCACCGACAACCTGATCAAACGGAGACAGTGGAGCAAGCAAAGAAATGCAGCGGACAACACTCAGCTTCCCCAAAGACAGGAGAACCCTACACACACGGGGAAGAGCACGGTTGAGCGAAGTTCAGCGAGCCGCCCTCGCCCCGCGTCCTCCCCAAACCGCCCAGCCACTGGGTGGGAGAAGGTGCTCTTCAGCAGCACTGCAGCAAAGAGCAGATGTCTGTGCACCTCAAAACCCTGCTGAAGGTCTGAGCAGAACCCTGAGCTCGAATCTGAAATGGGACACTATAGAAAATAAAGCGGACTTGCTACAACTTGTTGCAAAGAACTATTGAACTTTGCAGTTGTTTAGGAAAGCGACTGTGAGTTAAAGGGATAGTTCAGCCCAAATTGAACATGCTGTCATCATTTACTCGGCCTCATGACCTTCCAAACCTGTGGAACACACAAAAAAAGATATTCTGAATGATGTTGAGAACTAAAACAGTTTTGGTTACCATTAGAGCCTTTCGCACCACTTTAGTTCCAGAACTAAATGTACAGTACTAAAGTACTGGTACGATTTTGCGCAAACTATTTTCCAGTACTATTTAAAGGGTTGCATTCGCACTGACAGTGTGTACTAAGAAGTGACAAACGCCAAAAAGTGGGTAGTTCCACAATTAGTTCTGGTACTATGAAAAGGTTCCTGCGGTGCGAAAGGCCCTATTGACAACTTGGAATGTTCCACAGAAGGAGAGTCATACGGGTTTGGAATGAAATGAGGATGAGTAAATGATGATAGAATTTACATTTTTGGGTGAACTGTCCCTTTAAACATGAAGACTTGTGGAAGTGAAAAAACAGAGATATTTAATGTGTATATTTTTTCATGTTAATTTACCTGAAAAGTACATTTAGTTTTGTTACGGGAGCTCATATTTCTGTATCATGATTTATTTGCTTTCATGTGCAAAATGTTACACATACTGGTGTCTCAAGAATGAGTTATATTGTTGTATATTATAAGAGTATGAGATATTTTAGAAAGACAATCGCCGTGAAGAACTGGACCGCTGATGGCAAGAAAATAGTTTTTTTTTTTTTTTTTTGCATTATTTTGAAGCACTGTGGACAGTAAGCAACTACTTATGTCTGTCTTTGAAATATGTTTTATTTCAATTGCACAATTCGTTTTTAATTGTTTGAAGAATGTACTATTTTGTGCAAAGCCCTGTAATTTTGCCCATGTTCGTGTTGGGACGTTACACTTGATTTGAAATTCTTTAAAACTCATTTTCTCTCTGCCTTTCAACATCATTATTTTTTATCATCTGCATCAGTTCAAAAAGAAACACACAAGTGGATACAATAATCATTTTTATCTTTTTATTCTGTACATCATGAAATAAAGAGTTTCGGCCCCGTCATTTTTTGTGCGTTTTGAGACTTGAGGTTCATTATTGATCTGTTGATGCAAGTTAACGGCGTTCGGTATTTCTGCATGTTGCAAAAGCATTCAGATCCCAATCTAAACTCACTAGTTCTTCCATTACTGAATCACTACTTGTCATGGCTTACTTTCTGAGCACTCAAAACAAATGATTTTAATGTCTCGTTTCACATAATCAGCACTATTCTACGCCGTTTTGTAGTACGAGTAGTGTGTTTATACTTAATAGCAGCCTGCATAGTGTATTATAAATGCACAGTGTACTATTCAGTTCAAACTCATAAATCTGAATTCTGCAAAAAGCAAAAAAGGGTTGAGGCTCCAAACAATAAAACATGTTATAAACATGCATGTTGTGTTCTTAAACATATAGATTTTATTGGAATAATTTTTTGTATCCTTATACGGTACATGATCATTTTTATGTCATTTTACAGATCTCTGTATCCTTATACAATACCACTGGCTCTTAGTCTATTACATTAATGCAGGTTTATGGAGTATAAGTGATGTATGTTTTTACTTATGAAATCATTAAAGTCAGCATGAAACAAAGTTGTGTCATTTATAATAAACACAGCAATATTCCACAAAAAAAATAAGAATTGTTAACTTTGAATATCATGCATGCAAAATAATTCAACTAAATTTAAATTTGAAATGAATAGAAGGATTATGTAAGATTTAAAATGACTTAGTCTAGAATTATACTTGATTTCAAAACATTTGTTGCATTCTTTATCTGTAGTTTCTTCCTTTCCCACCCAATGCCAGTATCCCGAGCTTCAAGAAAACGGAGATGGATTCAACATTTTTGAATAGCATCAGTCAACAAATCTGATTTTTGATGGGTACTGGAATCATAAATCACACCATCTTTATCCATTTAGGCCAGACGAGAACTGGTCCCCGGACTGAGCCTGGTTTCCCCATTTCTGTCACTTAGTGGAGTTTGGGTTCCTCGTCACTATCACCTTTGGCACTAAATATTCAGTAATATGAATATTAATGTGTTAATATTTGACTGCAATGATACTATCAGATGAGAACACTGAACTGCATTGAGCTGAATAATGACACTGTTGACTTGCTGCTTTATAGCAGAATTTGAATTTGTCATATTTGATGAAGTTTGCATCATTTATTGTTATTTTTCAGTTTGTTACTATGAAGCTGTTTTGAGACAACCTGTATTGTATAAATAAAGGTGAGTTGTCTTGTGTTGTACACTTGTCAAATAAAAACCTAAGCTTTAAAATAAGAGAATACACTGTTTCACGTGAAAATTTGGTCAGGAAAAACATTCTTTTCCAAAAATACTGTATTTCACACAACTCGGGAGATACAAGAACACCATCAACCAAAAGTTCATATAATGTATAGTAATGTATTGCATCAGTGTCTATATCTATAATGCATAAATATATTCATAAAAATAAATAATCTCTAGTTATTTGAAGAACAAATGAAATGCTTCCTCCTGCTTCCTCTAAATGATTTCTGAAAATTAGTTCTAATGAACTGACTGTCTTCTTTACTTTGGAAACGGACACTCTCATGCTCTCAGACACTGGTGTATTTATTCTGGAATCATATGAAACTTTATAAAATTCCAAAGAAACACTTTACTATCAGCCGGCTGCAACAAACTGCTCAAGTTGTTTAGTTTTTTTTTGCAATCCACTTGAGTGTCTGCACTGAAAATAACTGGCGTTTGCACTCAGAAATTGCTAGTAAACTTCATAAATACAAAGAAACAGCAACACATAAACATATTACTCATAAAAATATTCCAGTAATTTGCTTTATTTACAATTTTAAAAACAAAATATTTTTTTACAGTGTGAAATATTTTGTTACTGTAAACTAATGGCTGTTTTCAGTTAAGTCACAATTTTCACTTTTTTAAATCATCTTTTCTGCCCTTTTTAGTTCAATTCAGTGGTTCTGGGGTCTTAAAGGGGTCATCCGATGCTACATGCACTTTTACAAGTTGTTTGAACTGAAATGTGTGTTGGCAGTGTGTGTACACAACCACCCTATAATGATAAAAATCCATCCAGTGTTTTTTTTTTTATCTACTTAAATCTTTACCCCTTTCTCAAATCGAGCCGATCTCAGATGCCTGTCTGTGTGATGTCACACAGACAGGCCCCTCCCACGATAGTTTGATTGACAGTAGCGTTTCAGCACAGACTGGACTGGTGTCTTACCTTAGCTCCGCTCTGAGTGAGCTGTCATCAGTCCGCCATTGTTTCAAACTTGGACTTTGTTCCACATAAACATTACAGATTTAGTCCATTGTAGGAGGGCAAATGGAAATGTATTTTTCCATCATACCTGATTTGCAGCATTTGCAAGGTTCCCAAGAGATTAAAAAAAGAATTGTAATTATAACAATAATGTATTTAAATAATATTTTGATCTATGTTGTTCATTTTGATGTTTCTGTATTTCAAAGTTCATGTACAGTCACATCAGTACAATTCACACATTTTACTTGAAAATGCTAAACAAATTGCTATCTGAATAGGCAATTTAATATTTATTGACAAAATCGATGTTCTTTGCTATTCAGCCTAAAGATTAAAATATACAAGAAAAAATGAAAAAATAAACCTTTTCTTTTGAGGAGAGGAAACTAGTGCCTCATGTCAACTGCCCACATACAGTCACATGTATTCGTTTATTGCTGAGAGGCAAAAATTGATTCCATGTTGCAAGCGTAATAAAAAAAAAAAAAAACAGTTTTTCATAGGTAATCTGTATTCCCAACACTTTCTCAAATGTCATCTAATGTAAAGGAGCAGCAGTCATTGTGAGTAGATGGACCAGTATATGATGTTGAAGAGTGTGTAGGCTCCAGGGAAGATGACCCGTGAATATTTGTCTATGGCATGTGTGTCTATATATAAGCTGCTGCTGGAGCTTACAGCAGGTCTTTGAGCTCCCTGCTCATTATCCAGGACCAGATGAACCAGGAACTGCTCCTGTTTGTCTCCGCTCAGCTCTGACATGCCGTAGTTCCCTGTGGTTATCATGTCCATGTCGCTGTAGCTGCTGCTCATCATCATCTGACCAGGATGGGTCATTCCACACGTACACGGCAACTGCTGGATCACACAATCACACATTACATGTAATATCACATGCTCTGAATTTAAAGCACATTCATCAGATAACACCAAAACCTGCCATTTTCCTTGTAAAGTGCATATATGTGACTCCGGAGCACAAAACCAGTCATAAGGGTCAAATTTTTGAAATTGAGATTTATACATCATAGGTTAGGACAATATAGGACAATATTTGGCCGAGATACAACTATTTGAAAATCTGGAATCTGAGGGTGCAAAAAAGTCAAAATATTGAGAAAATCATCTTTAAAGTTGTCCAAATGAAGTTCTTAGCAATGCATATCACTAATCAAAAATTAAGTTTTGATATATTTACGGTAGTAAATTTACAAAATATCTTCATGGAACATGATCTTTACTTAACGTCCTAATGATTTTTGGCATAAAAGAAAAATCGATAATCTTTACCCATACAATGTATTGTTGGCTATTGCTACAAATATACCCCAGCGACTTAAGACTGCTTTTGTGCTGCAGTGTCACATATTACACTCATTTACAAGTTCTCACTCACGCATTTTTGGGCTGTGCTAGAATGCATTAAATGATTTAAAGTTCAAAAATATTTTTTTTTATAAATTGCACATAGGAACATTCTTACAACCTTTGAATTTATCTTAGAACTTATGAATTTCTTGAATCCCACCTTCATTAAATACTTGTACTAAGTACTTGAGTACAGCGTCTACATTCTTTATGGCCTTGCTAAAATGCTTTATTAACCACCACACAAGTACATCTTA